CCCGCAACCCGAGCCCCGCGGGCCAACACCGACCTCGCGGGCCCCCCAGCCGGCGCCGCGCCTCGCTCCCTCCTCAACGGCAGGACAGCGGGACAGAGGAGACGCGTGGACAGCCAAACGGAAGGCTGGACTCACTCGGAGGTCCCCAGGGCCAGACTCCCGAGTCCCAGTGCCAGGCCTGCCACAGCCCCCTCAGTGCACCTCAGGGAGCCCCACGATCCCGTTAGGAAACAACGGAGGACCGGGCTGCGCGACCCAAGCCGCGCTCCGAACGCTGGGCCCAGCACTCCCCTAGTCTGGCTGGCCTGCCAGCTCTCCCCACGACCCGGCCTGAGCGGCACCCACCTGCCCGGCCTTTCAGGGCTCATCTAAAAGGCTCCTCCGCCACGACTAGGAGACACCAGGAATTGGTTTGTTTGCGGTGCCTCAGAGGGGGCAAGATGGCGACGGAGGCCAGCGCGCAGGCGCAGCCGCGCGCTGCCCGCCGGGAGGTGTAGTCCGCCTTTCCCGCCCTTCGGATCACGGACACCAAAAGTTCTCCATCCTGTCCCTCGCGTCCTCCGCGTTACGAAAGAAAAGGACCGGTGTCTCGGGGGTGCTGGGAGTTGTGGTCCGAACGCAAACGCCATCCTCTCCGGCTGCCGGTGTGCCGGCGCACGCGCAAGGAAGGCTGGGATTGTAGTCTCCTGGGCTCCGCCTACACTCCCTCGCCGGCTTCGCGCCTCTACTGCGGACGCGCAGCCAATCCGCTGTGCACTTCGTAGAGTGCGGCGTCACACGCAGCTGCCAAGATGGCGCTTTTGCTGGTGCTAGGTTTCCGGGGCAACCTGTTTTCTGACTGAGCTGGGGGTCGGCGGGAAAGCGCCTTCGCCCCCAAGCGCGGTCAAGGATTAGCCTCGGGTTCCACCGAGTCTTTGGACCGGTTATTAGCGGCCTCCAGCTCCCCTGCACGAAAGCGCGAGGGGAGATCTAAGCGCTGACAGTGGACGCCTCAGTACCGGTATCCAGTCTGGAGGTTTCAGAGTTGCACGTAGGGAAGGGAAGCCGGAGCGGTATCAAGCTTCAGGTTCCTCGACGTGTGAGTGGGAATGATAGGGATAGCCCTTGCCCTGTCTGTGACAAACAAGGAGAGATTGATGTGGAGCCATACGACTTGGTAGGTGCACCCTCAGCCTTCGGTCCTCTTTGATCGACGATTCTGTAAAGGTTTGCTGCCCTGCATTACACATGAGAAAAGAATATAGTCACTCGAGGCCATAAAACCTATGCCTGTACCTGGTACAAGTGTTGAAGATTCCATCCAGTTTTGTGGTTGTCTTTTCTATTTGAATTTTGTATTTTAGTAACATCGGACCCTGTAAAAATACTGAAATAGAAAGGAGTTTTTAATATGCACTCAGCTTTTGCCAGATGTAGTTTCCTTCTCGAAAAATGGGGTTGATACTAAAGGGGTGTCATGAAACACAATGCAGATAAGCTGTATATTAATTGTCAGCCACTACAGAAACAGCAGGTGAATATAGCTGTAGGTAGGAAAGATAAATAACATTTAACTTTCTGTGTGCCTATTAGCTAAAGATACTGTGCAAGGGTCAGGAAAATTATTGTTGCTGAAACTCTAATCTGCACCCTCAGAAAATTGTGAAGTGCAACACATTAATCTCCAAGCTCTCCTGAGCTTGCCTGATCTACCAACAACACATCCTGTTTTGAGGCCATTTGCTTAAGAACTCTCAGAGATCAGCACTTGGTATAATGCTTACATCACTGGACTCCCACATAGTTGACCATGGTTTGAGTCCCAGACTCAGCAGCTGCAAACTCAGGCCCAGCACTTGTGCCCAAAACCCCAAGAGGAGAATGGAGGAGAAGGGGTTGCAGAGTGGCCACCCCACCCCCACCCCCTAGGGGTGATTTCTCCCTTTCTATCTCTGGCAAGCACATGTACCCTGTAGTAAAAAAATCTCTCAAAAAAACAATTCAGAAATATAATCATTGAAATGTTAATAGAAGATTTTATCATTTAACACATTATTTTTTTTAGAGGATTTTGCTATAGGGCCCGTGCGCTCACCAGACAGAGAGAGACAGAAAGTGAGAAATCACCCCCCAGGGGGGATGGCCAAGCCACAATCCCTTCTCCTCCATTCTCCTCGCGGGATCTTGGGCGCACGCACACGTGCCCTGTGTGAGTTTCAACCCACTGGGTCCGGGACGCGAACCGCAGTCGACTACATGGGAGTCCAGTGACATAGCCATTACTGCTGCTCCCATTTAACACATTATTTGATTTGAGCTTCATGACATCTCAGTGAGGTGAGGTAGGTATAATTAAGGCACCTCATACAATGAATAATGAAAACAGATGTTAATGAACTCACCTAATTTTACCCAGGAATTGAGAGACTATGTCACCCCAGTTCTTCTGACCACCAAGTTTACTTTCCAATGATGTCAAAATGACATAACAAAGTGGAAATGGAAGGACAAAGGGCTATGACCATAAGAAATAATTGATGAGTAATTAATTATTACAACTAATCTTTGTGCTTTGTAGGTGCCAAGTAGTGGTCTCAGCATCTTACATATGAGCTTAATCTTTCCAACAATTTTATGAGTTAGAGACTTTTACATCTAATTACAAATGAGGCAACTGAGGCATAAGAAGGAAGGTAAAGAGCTTGCCTTGGGCCAGCAGGTGGCATGGTGGTTAAGGTAGCTGGATCCCACATGGCTCACTATGCAGTTTGAGGCCCAGACCTCGTGGCTTGAAAAACTCTACAGGTACATGTGTGCCCAAAATCCCAAGAGGAGAATGGAAGAGAAGAATCCCATCTCTTGGTGTGGCCAATCCCTTCTGAGAGGTACTCTCAGTTTTTCTATCATTGGCCTTTTGCCCTTTAGCAAAAGAAAACAAAACAAAAAACAAGGAAGAAAAAAAAAAAAAACTTGCCCAAAGTCACACATATGTAAATGGTAACGCCAGGATTTAAACCTAAGCATTTTGGCTTCAGAGCCTATGCTCTTGACCAGCAATTCTCAAACTTCAATGTCCAATAGGAACCACCTGGAAATCTTGTTAAAATGCAAATATTGGGGGCTAGCAGGTGGCATGCTGGTTAAGGGACTGGATTCCCACATGGCCAACCACAGTTCAAGTTCCAGACCTAGCAGTTTGAAAAATAAACCAGGTGTGTGTGCATGCATACCCAAAATCCCAGAGGGGAATGGAGGCAAGGAGATTGCAGCATGGCCATATCCCCCCAGGGGATGACTTCTCACTTTCCCTCTCTCTCTGTGTCTCTGTTGAGCACACATACCCTATGTCAAAAACTTTTTTTTAAGTGTAGATTTTGGTTGTATATGGAGTAGGGCCTAGAGCCTATATTTCTGACAAGTTTCCAAGTGATGTTAGTGCTGCTGGCCATTATATCCTACCACGTATCTTTCCTTCTAACCATATTTTTCTTTTTCACAGCCAGAAACTACCTTCCCCTCTGACTACATCATAGTCTCAAATGTTCCAACATCCTCTTTCTCAAGAAGCCGTCTCAAACTACTCTCAAAAAGCTTATCCTACCCCTAATTTTTCATCTAGAATGAAACAAGCATCCCTACCTCTGCTTCCACACCACTTTACACCTGGTTACAGAGCTCAAAACACTTTGTTTGAAAATATTGCTGACTAAGATCCAGCAGATGGTGTAGTGGTTATGTTACTGGACTCCCACATGGCTAACCGAGGTTCGAGCCTCAGACCTGATGGCTTGAAACTCACACTGGTCACTGTGTGTGCCCAAAATCCCAAGAGGAGAATCCCCCTGGGGGATGATTTCTCACTTTGTCTTTCTCTGTGTCTCTGGTGTGTGCGTGCACCTCATAGCAAAAATCTTTCTAAAAAGACAAAGGAAAATATTCCTGACTAGACCACACAAGCTTTCAGAAGGACCAACCAGGTCTATGCCTTCTAGTGCCTAGTACATATTACAAACAATAGCCAATAGTTAATTCTAGGCTTTTTCTGTCCAGATTTTGTATGTACATGAACTTGTTTAATCCTTATAGTAACCTTATAATTACGGTATCCCCACTTTATGAATGAAGCAACTAAGACACATAGGTTAAGCAGTTCACCTAAGGTAACAAGCTAGTAAATAGCAGAGAGCCATAATTTCAAATGAAGACACTGGCTCCAGGAAACGTGTGGTAAATGTTGAGTGTTGGGAAAAGTCATGACATGCTTTTGCATAAAAAAAAAAAAAAGGTATGACTTTCCCAATGACCTACTAGAAAGGGAGTCACCCTGCACTGAACTTCCAAAGAAGAAAGACTAAGACTTTCGATCCTCCTTGACAAGTATACCTTCTAGTCTGGGAAAATGTTCGAGAATACAATACCTGTCTCAAACTTTATGACTCTTATGAACTAAGGAGATAAATCTTAAAATAGAAACTTCCTCAAGATACCTACCGTCCATCATTCTAATTTTGTACTACTATATTGGGGAAGGGAGTTGTCACCATAGTCAAAAAGGATTTGTTAAGCTCCTATGGTATTGTAGGTGGAAAATTGGAATGATTAAAACTTTAGAGATTCATTTTCTACATGGCGAAAACTAAGTCAAGTGAGTTAACCAAGGTCAAACAGGAACTTCATGGCAAGACTGGGACTGAAACCAGTCCTTCTGACTTACAGGCTGCTGTTCTTTCTGCTGTATTACACTGACCTTACGTGCTTTTTTTATTTTTATTTTTATTTTTTTATTACCAGAGGGCACTTACCCTTGCCAGAGAGAGAAAGCATCATCGAGTAAGATGTGCTAACACTGCAGTCTTTTTCCTCTATTTCCATCCTATCAGTATTCCAGTCATCCATACACATATGTCTGCTGTGTTTTTCAAGCCTCCAGGGCTATGATTCACACTGCGGTCAGCTATGTAGGATCCAACTCCCAACACACAGTGCTTTCTCACTGCAATACAGAGCTAACCTACCTTTAAATTCTTACCTTCAGAAAGTTTATTACTACTTTGGTATAGCCAAGGTGTGAACTAAAAATGAGAATGGCAAAACCAAAAAGATTTAAGTAGAATATCAAATAGTAAATCAAGATGAACAGATTTGGGGGACAGAAAAGTGAAAGTGAAAGAAAACTGGAGGTAACTGACAATTACATGCCCAAACTCAATGGAGCTTCTGAAATGCTTATGAACAATCTAGAAAGACCAGGAAGGAAGCGAAAAATATGGCCACTGGTCCTCTCCCTCCTCACCTTCCATTCTGTAGTTTCTGGGCTGGCCCTGTAGTCTAGTGGTTAAGTGAGGGGGATCTCACATAGCTGACTGCAGTTCAAATCCCAGCTCTACTGGCTTGAAAAATGCCAGGTGTGGAGGATGCTTTCTGGGACCAGCAGTTGGTGTAATGGCTATGTTGCTGAACTCCTATGCAGTTGACCGCAGTTCGAATCCCAGACCCGGTGGCTTAAACTCATGCTGTGCGTGTGTGTGTGTGTGTGCCCACAATTCCGAGAGGAGAGTGGAGGAAAAGGGATTGCAGTGTGGCCATCCCCCCTGGGAGGTGATTTCTCGCTTTCTGTCTATCTTTCTCTGTCTTTCTGGAGAGCGCACCTAGGGCAAAAACCCCCAAAAAAAAAAAAAAAAAAGGATGCTTTCTCTCCCACTCCTGTCCCCTGTGCTGAAGAATGCATGTGCCCTCTGATTATTAACAACAACAAAATTGTATAGCTCCTACTTCCTAAATCACTGACTTTGTGGTTTGTTTTGCCATAGGGCATGTGCGCTCACCAGAGAGAGACTGAGAGAGGGAAAGTGAGAAATCATCCCTGGGGGGAGGGGGGTGGATGGCCATGCTACAATCCCTTCTCCATTCTCCTCTGGGGATTTGGAGCACATATACACATGTTCCTGGAGTGATTTTCAAACCACCAGGTCCAGAACTTGAATCATGGTCGACCATGTGAGTCCAGTGCCTTAACCCCACCTATTGGCCCCTAACTTAGTTATTTTAGTGGGGAGATGATGGAGCCTCAACACCTCTGTGAAATGGACTTTTTTTTTTTTTTTACAAACCCACTTCCTTTAGAGAAGCTTACTTGCTGAGCACATCCGCCATATTGCCACTTCTATGAGAGTGAGCTTTTTAAAATTTGAAGCCTGTCATATCAGTTCTCTGCTTAAAACTTTCCACTGGCTCCCAATTGCCAGCAGTTTGTATGCAGGCAAACCTATGCTAGTACAAAGAAATTTCCTTATATAGCTAACCTTTTTTTAGCAGCACTGTACCACCTCTTACTTGCTGGAGGGTATGTGTGCTTGCCCAAGAGGGAAAAAATA